CTGAACAGAAGGGAAGAGTCCCCACACGCACTCTGCAGCTCACACTCTTGGCTGCCTAAACGCTGCTGAGAACCTGACACTGCCTGGAAAACACGGTTTCTAAGGGACACCAAGGAAAAGTGAGCAGAAATAAAGTGAAGAAACATAAAGCTCCTGGTTTCTCCAAGAATCCAGGAGCCCCCACGGAGGCTGCAGGCTGCTGGGCTCTCACATCCAAAACATCACGCATGTCGGGGATCAGGTAGGGAAGCAGGTCAGAGGAGAAGACAGCAGTGGCCCACTGTGTGACCAGCAGTGTCTGGTCCGGAAGCCACGGCTCCCCTGATGCTCTATGTGCAAGGATATCTGCCCCAACATCACACCAGGCTGGCTCTGCGCCTCTCCTGAGATTGACCTCCTTCCAACAGGTCACATTGGGTCTTGCCCAAAGTTAGGTGTCAGAAGGGCCTGTCTGACATTGATGGGACAAGACCCTTCTGACTTCTGACCTCTGCTTCCTTCCTCAGACACCCACAGTGTCTTGGACATGTGTTCAGCAAGTCCCTCACATGCCCTTCAGGTAGTGACCACAGTCCCTGTTGAGGCTTCTAGAATGAGCCCAGACACCTCATCCTCTCTGGAGTCTTGTGCCATTGCTTGCCCAGCAATGACTACCTCAAGTTAGTCACCTGAGTCATTTGATCAGGCCAGCACTGAAAGCTCCTGATTTTAAAATGAGCATAATGTGGACCTTCCCGATACATCTGTATTTACTAGATTTCCACCAATAGAATCTATAGGCCTGCCATTTCTACTATTTGAATGACTAAAGTTAAGTACATGGCCTCCCTTCCCAAAATCACATTGCATTCTCGCCCCCATAAGATAAAACCTAGAAAAAAAATTGAGGTGGAGAAAAGACCATATCTGGGCAGATCATGGCTCTTGACAGCTTTTGCACACTGTCTCAGGCCAGATCCTGGAAGCCAAATGTACCCTTCTTCTCCGTGATGGTGCTAATTTGCAATCAGGGAGTGCTGCGACATTGCTGGTGGTTGCCTCCCCACCCCTGCTGCAAAGCCAGATTATGGGCATTGTGATGGGGAAGGGAGGAGAAATTCCCACCAGGAAATCAGTTTGGTTCAGGCCCTTCATTCCCTTGCCTCACAGAGGCAAAGAAATCCATCCTGCCCCTGCCAAACAGCTCCCAGGCTGCCATCCCCTTGACCTGGCTCCATTTTCTCAACCTTGAAGGACAAACTCAGCCTTTTTGTCTTGCCTTAATATTTCCTGTGTTCCTTGAAAGCTCTTCAGTCAAATGCTTTTCAACAAGAAGGTGCCTAAATCAATATTATTAGACTTTCTGGAAACAACCTTTGCATAGTTCTGCACTAGATGACTCCACTCCCCAAACTTATTTCCTACAGTGGGTTTAGGTAGAAGCACTGAGTTCCAGAGCTGCTCACAACTTGTGTGACACCTTCACCTTCAGGTCCTTATACGTGCCCGCAAGGAAAATCAGTCCAGGCATGCTTTGCTGATCTGTTTCAAGCTATAAGTATCCACAGGCTTAGGAAGGACATGCCATTACCCAAACTGTCACAGCTGGTCAACAACAGCATGCCAAGCTGTCCATCCTGAAGGGATCGAAGGGCAGAAGATTTTGTTGGTGACCTCAGAGCCCCGTGGTGTTCATACATCTCTAGCAGCTCTTGGACTCAAGCCCCATCCATTGAATCAACTTTATTCCCTCAGTTCAGCTATGCTGGGACCAGTGACCCAATGCAGGCACTTGGCCTTCTGTGATAAGAACTGATGCAAGTAGCACTAGGCACTGACCCCTCCCCTCTGCAGACCTTGGGGAAACAGACTTGAGTCTTGAGGGTGTCAGTGCCACCTGCTGCCCATGATGTGCTACTGCAGTGACACGTGCCCAATTTCCTGTAGGGACAGGTCCCACATGCTTCTTCTCAGGACTCTGGATGTTCCATGGGTAAACACTGAAGCTAGACAGGAGAAGAACACAGAGACAGCCCTTGGCCCCAGCACATTGTATTCCGGTGCAATCTCACAGGAGCTGGGCCACTGCTGAGCTTAGATGGGCAGTAGGGATGGGATAAACAGAGGAACACAGGGGTCAGATTAGGCCCTCATGTCTAAGGATCCTGCTAGGGGTGCTCACCTCTAAAGGGTATGCAGAAACATTCTGAATTATGTAAGAGAAAACAATGTTTATTGATATTTGTAATTAGTTATTGAAAGCACAGTCTCAAGAAATGGTCCTTTCAAAATTGCTGCTGGAACATCAGTGTTTGCATATAGTAGGCTCAGGGATGAAAGGGAGAGGAGAACAGGCGGAACTCACAGCAATACCCCACATTATCTTTCAAGCCCTTTGATGCTCCCCTGGACTAACACTCTCCTGAACCACATGGGCCAATTATTTGCTTGGTGCCTGTGATGCCTCATGAGCTAAGATCCTAATCTGATAAGCCTCCCTGTTCCTTTCTGTGTAAACACTTACTAATGGCCCTGTGAATGGCCCTTGTGGTATAATCTATTCCACATGGAAGAGACCAGGGGCCTTTAATGTCCATGGGAGACCACATCATCCACATTTTTCTTCAGGTGAAGATGGGTGAACTCATGGAAGCATGTGGCCCTCTAGGATGGGTCAGAGCACCTGAGTCAGGGCACCTGAGTCCAGGTGGTGATTAACTAATCATCTTCCCCTTGAGCCAATATAATAAAGCGTGGACTGCTGAAATTCTAAAACGAAAGTTCAAATTTGGGGCGGAAGGAGAAAGTTTAATTAGAAACCCAGTGTGCAGTTAAAGACCACTTCATACCCCACGGTTCAGTGCCAAATTCAAATACATGAGAAACAAGTGTCTTTGTGCACAAGTGATAGCCCTGTTGTATAAAGAAGCTCTGCTTCACTGCCTGGGAAAGGACCAGCACTTGGTACTTCTGCTGTGTTCCCTGCGCTGCAAATGCCTCTGACACCAGGACCAGCCTGGGCGCCCCTGCTCTGCATCCTGGGAAAGGGCACTGCCCTCACACGTCCACCTGGAGACAGCAAGGACACCACTCTGTCCTCGTCCCCTCAATTCCAGGACCCTCCCTCCCTCTCTGTCCTGTGCTCAGGCTCCCCATGGTCACACCTCATCTTCTCCTCTCTGGGGTAACTCAGACCTAGACCCCAGCACACTCCTCTGCCCCACCCATCTCGCTCTCAGGAGCTGCTCCCAGGCACCCTGTCAGGGCCAGCACTGGCCTCTGCTCCCTGTGCTCTCCCTGTGCCCATGTAAGTGTCCAAGTCTGTGCTTTGCTTCTCCCCACTCTGAACCTGCTCTAGGCTCCTTTAATTATCTCATCACCAGGTGAGCAGGATTCCTTATGCATTCTCTGTTCTGTCCCAGGGTCAAGGCAAATGCCACGCCCACAGCTACCTTACAGTGTTCTCACAGTGACTTCACCCTGAGAAAAGTCCCCCAAACAGGTAAATCCCATAGAGACACAGCTGAGTATTCTTCCTTGCCTAGAAATCTCCAAAACCTGTCATTGTTTTTCTTGTCACTAGAAGAAAACAAAATGGCATTATGTATTCTCAAGTCTACAAAAAGGCTAATAATTATGGGGCTCACTTATTGAAATGAGAAATGAGAAAGGCATTTTAAAATTAATGATCCCATTCAACTGTAACAATATCCACAGAAATTTAAGATCATAATGTGGCACATATGTTTAAAATTTTACCTTTTTCAGTGGCTGTTTGAATCAGTGATGCTAAAAAAATGCTTTGAAAGTATTTAAAGATGGGCTAAGGTAGAGGCTCAGAGGTAGAGCTCCTGCATAGCCCTTGTGAGGCCCTGAGTTCAATTCTCAGCACCACATATAAATAAAATAAATGTCTAAAAAAAAAGGTGTTTAAAAAAACTCCACTATCAGAAAAGGAAAAAACGCCCAGGTAGAATATCCACAAAGAAACATCCCATTTAAACTGATCTGTAGACTAAAGGGTCTTACTGACTTGTAGAGAAACTTGCAGCCAATGGTGCAGATGTTCTCCCGAACAGCACATGGAAACTGCTCGTTTCGTCTTATGTCAGGACACAAGACAAAGCTCAACAAGTTTGAAACCAGGTGAAGTATCTGATCTGCAAACAAAGAAATAAGACTACATTTTAACAGAAAATTAAAGTAACATGAACTACTCATGTACATGGAAATTAAACAACATGCCCTTGAAGGAACTGAGAGGTCACAAAGATCTACAAAGGAATAGAAAAACGTCCTGAGAGGAAGGGAAGTGAAAAGGAAAATCACAAAACTCAGGGACCACAGCACTGGATCCCCAAGGACACAGAGAGCCTGAAGCCTGCTTCAGCCAAGGGGGAGCATCACGACGCAGGCCTTGGAAGTGCACCTCCTCATCTCACCCAGACACTAAGGAAAACCACGGCTGGGGAAGGAGGGCACAATAAGGCCCAGACCAGGAATCAGTGAGATTCTGCCTTGATGTATATACAGTCAGAAAAACAGAGCTGGAGGGTATAAAGCAGAAAGGAAATTCACACATTTTAACCAGAAAAACTAAAAAGAAAAGAGAAAATATTCAAATAATTGAATCAGAGACAAAGAAGAAGATACAACATCAGATATTTCAGAAATGCAAAGGATCATAACAAATTGCTCTATTAAAGCCTATGCCAAACGTTTTGGAATAGTACAAGAAATGGATATATTCCAAGGTAGAAAGAGCCTGTCAAGACTGAATCATGAAGAAATAGAAATAGAGGAGACCAGGAGAGAGGAGATTGAACCCCTAATGAACACTCCACTATCAAAAGGACCCAGATATTTCTGGCTCTGCTCTTGTTGTAGCTACCAAATATTTACACACTGATAACAACTGTTTCCCAACTATTTTGCACTATTGAAGAGCAAGGGATTGCCCAGGCGGCTCTCTTCTCAGTCCTAGAAGGTAAACCCCACGGCAGATGTTCAGCAGGAAACATGTCATCCCCATCAGCACCGCCAGCTTCTACCAGGCTCAGACAACACAGGGAGCTCACAGCATGAGGCAGGAAGCTACCAGAACAGAGAACTTCAAAGGGACTCCAGGGCAGGCCTGCCACCCCCACCAAAGTCACCTGCAGCCTGGGCTCTGAGCCTGCTCCTCGCACACCTATAAATGCAGCCGACTCCTCGCTCCACTCACACTCAGGCCCCTGCCTCCTCTCCTCCAGTGACTCCAGCCATGAGGACCCTCGCCCTCCTCGCTGCCCTTCTCCTGCTGGCCCTCCAGGCCCAGGCTGAGCCTCTCCCAGAAAACAATGAGGAGGCCCCAGACCAGGAGCAGCCAGGGGAAGAGGACCAGGACATGGCCATCTCCTTTTCTGAAGCTGAGGCCCCTGGTGTTCAGAGATCAGGTGAGTGTCCCCACCATGGTGCAGTATGGAGGGCAGAGGAAGGCCTGCAGGTGGGCTGGAGAATGGGTCCCCAGGGGTCTGCACCACTTACAGGAATACAGCCAACTCTCTTAAACTTGACTCAATCAGCTACATTGAAGAAATAGAGAAAATGAATGTAAGAGCTTTTTCCCTTCAAAGATTTTACATTCCAACATGACGTCTCAAATTCACTACGCTTAAATATGGACAGACATGTAGATTAGCTCATTTGGAATAAACATGGGAAAACGTGGTTGTAGAGAAAATGTTTTGCTCTATCAGAGGAGAGTTAGAAACAGGCGTCTCCTCTGAGTGTGATCAGAGTCTGTGTGGTGGGTCAGGGGCTCACAGAGGCCAAGGCAGGTGAGAAAAAGTCTCCTGCCCATGAGTGGCTGACACTGCTGTGTGTTCCTGATCCCATTCACAGGGCTGGTACCATGCTGGTGCAGGGTCCCCAACAGGGCTGACCCTCACCCCAGCAGGGGCCTCTCCAGGACTCTTCACCAGGAGTCTGACTCACCACTCAATTCAACTTGCTCTCTCTGTGTCCCCAGCTGCAGGACAGACTGGGAAATGTCGCTGTGCAATCTTTGGCTGTACTATCCCAGGAGAACGCAACGCTGGGAGATGCAAACGGGGTGGCCTATTCTACTCATTATGCTGCTACTGACCATAATGAGCAGAGAAAAACTTGTTACTACATCCTTGGAAACCTACAGGAAAAAGTCCAAACCCCTCCACTTGTCCTCAATTTTCTCTATGTCAAATAAACTCCTCAGAGCAAGTTCTCTGTGTCTGTGCCTCTTTGATGATTGCCACGTGTCTCAGGCTGGACTCTGTAGCTCAGGAACAAGAATCTGAAATATATTCTTCTAAACAAAAGCCTGGCTCCCAGCACTAGGAGGTCAGGGAGGAACACAGGATCACAGAGCAATGAGAAGTCTCAGCTGGTGCTCACCCCTCTACCTCCTCCCTGCCCCTCAGCTCTGCCTCCACTCAGACTGGGGGCACTGCGACCACCTTGCCCACATCCCATGTGCTACACAGTCAGAGCCAGAGTTCCTGTCAGGAAGGCCACCATCCTCCTTGCCAAAGTCCCAGAGAGGACTGCATGGGTCCAGGTGAACAGTGGTCTCTGAGGCCAGTGGGTTGCATCAGCTCCATCAGAACCTCATGAGAGTGGGATGGGTCATAAAAAGATGCCATTGGCACAACAGAAAGCAGAGGAAGCCCAAATATCCCATGCATGTCACCACTTTTAAGTAGATTTCTCTTCTCTAGAAAGTCCTGGGTTCTAGCTGTACTCGGTGGGTCTTCACAAACCAGCACATCAGGACAGCTCCTAGCTGCACCCTGCAGCTCACACTCTCTTAGTCACATCAAATCTGCTGAGATCCAGACTCTGCCTGTAACTCACAGCTCAGGGCATGTGAAAGCAAAAGTGCAGACACAAAGCCATTCTCCAAGCCACTAGGAGTCCCCATGGAGGCTGCAGGCATCAGGGCTCTGAGGCCCAAACATCTTACACATTGGAGTCAGGCAGGAAAAGGGTGTGAGGAAAGCAAGACAGCAACAGTGCCCTGTCAGAGCAGCAGAGTCTGGACCAGGGGCCACCGCTCCCCTGCTGCTGTCTGTATACTCTGTCCACCCCACGTCACACCCTGCTGGCTTTGCCCTGTCCTGAGCAGGACTGCCTTCCAAGAGGTCATGCAGGCTCATACCAAATTCCCGTCTCTGAAGGGCCAGTCAGTCATGTTGAGGAGGCAGGATTGACTCTTCCATGTCTCTAACCTCTGTCCCTCCACAGTCACCCAGGCATCCTGGACACCTTCCACCATGTGTCTCAAATGTCCATCAGGATGTGACCACAAACACTTTGTGAGGCCTCCACAGTCACACCCCGATGCCTCGTGTCCACTCTGGGGTCTGCACTGCCCCCTCAGGATCCATACCACGTGTTTGGAAAGAGAATTGGGCAGGTCAAGCCACGGTTATGCTCACTGGTCTGGTCACTGGCAGAATTTACCAGGAACATCTAGAGAATCAGAGAGATAACAGATGGTAGAGAGAAGGACAGCATTTCCAGTCCACTCAGGGCTGATCTTCACTAAAACAGTGAGCTGAGCCCAGACATCAATGTGATTAGTAACTCACAGCAATGCCCAGACCCAGAGAGGGCACAGAGGGGCTTTTCCAATATCCATTGCATCTGACTCTGAAGAGGAGATGACCTTAGGGCCAGGGTCTGCTCTTCTGAGGAGGCCAGCACAGTGTCCTGACCTCTAATGCCACCCTTCACATCTGGTACCTCTGCAGTGATCACATTGTGGACAGAAAAAGTCTTCAGTCCTGAAACACAGGGACCACCTCTCAGCCCTGGGCACGGGGGGGGGGGGGCTGAGCTGGGGGAGGGCCTGAGCTGGGGGAGGGCCTGAGCTGGGCTCAGGCTGTGGAGGTTGGGCAGCTTCTCTGGATCCTGTAAGTGCCCTGCCCTGCAGTGACTCTCTCAAGCTGGTCGCCTGAGTCAGACAGTCAGGCCAGCACCCAGAGCTCCAGGTTCCCAGAGAATCAAATATGGGCCTTCCCAATGGATTTTCCATCACTGTGTTTCCACCAGAGAGGAATTCAGGACGGCTAATTCTACTCCACTGCTGACAGTTGTAAGTACACAGCCGCCCTTCCCAACATCATGCCCATCTTTCACCCAGTAGAATAAAGACCAAAGAAACAAAACTAACATGTAATGTGGACAAATGTCCTCTGCTGCTTCTCACACCTGTAGAGTGTCTTAAGAGACACTGTCCTCTGCCCAGGTCCTGGAGGCCACCTGTGCCCTTATTCTCTGTGATGGTGCTAATGTTTAACCAGGGAGTGCTGAGACATTGCTGGTGGCTGTCCCCCCACCCCTGCTGCAAAGCCACGTTACAGAGAAAGCTCTCAGGCCCAAGGGCACCTTGATGGGGAAGGAAGGGGAAGTTCACACCAGCAAGCCAATTTGCTTCAGGCCTTTTGTTTCCTGGGCTCACAGAGGCATAGACACCCATCCTGCCCCTGCCAAACAGCACCCAGGATGCCACCCACGTTACCTGGCCCCTTTTTCTCTGCCTTGGAGGACCAGCTCACCCTCTCTGGCTTCCCTTAATATGTCCTGTGCTCCTTGGGCTTCTTCATGACTCATGCTTTTGAACCAGAAGTTGCCACAATTAATTTTACTAGAACCTTCTGGAAATTACCCTACAGTGGTTCTACACTAGATGACTCCACTTCCCAAAGTTATTCCCTCCCTGGTGGGTTTAGATCAGAAGCACTGAGTTCCAGAGCCGTTCACAACTCGGCTCCACCCGCACCTTCAGGTCATTATACGTGCCCATGACATCAATGCTGGCTTGCTTTGCTGACCTATTTCAAGCTCTAAGTATCCACTGCTTAGGGAGGGCATGACCTTATCCAAAGTGTCACAGCTGATCAATAACAGTGTGCCAAGCTGTCCATCCTGAAGGGACTGAAGGGCAGGAGATTTTGTTGGTGACCTCAGAGCCCCATGGTGCTCATAGACCTCTAGCAGTCTTGAACTTAGGCCTCTTCCACAGAATCAACTTTTTTTTTTCCCCTCAGTTCAGCGCCCTGGGACTAGTGGTTCAATGTGGGCATGTGGCCTTCTGTGACCAGAACTGATGCAAGCACCACTGGGCACTGCCCTCTCCCCTCTGAGACCTTGGGGAAACAGACTTGAGTCTTGAGGGTATCCGTGCCACCTGCTGCCCACCACGTGCTACTGCAGAACCATCTGCCCAATTTCCTCTAGGGACAGCTCCCGTCTGTCTTGCCATTCACTGTGGGCTCTGGTTCATTCTCAGGACTCTGGACATTGCATGTAGAACCATGAAACTCAATGGCAGAAGAACAAGGAGACAACCCTTGGCCCCAAGAGATTGCATTTCAGTGGAATCTCACAGGGGCTGGCCATTGCTGGGCTTAGATGGGGCAGTGGAGTGGGGTAAACAGAGAAAAAAGGGGTCAGAGATAAGGTCCTCATGCCTGAGGATCCTGCTGGGGTGGGCACAACTAAACGGCTTGTATCAGACTCCTGAATTACGAAAGGGAAAATAATGTTTGTTCCACGTTTTTAATTAATTATTGGAAGCAGGATCTCAAGAACTGGGCAACTCAAAATATGTTTGGGATTTGAATGTTGCATATAGTTAGCTCAGGAATGAAAGGGGAGAGGAGAGCAGGAGGAACCCACAACAAGCTCCCACACTGTCTCCAAAAGCCTTTGATGCTCCCCTGGTCTAACACTCTCCTGAACCACATGGACCAACTATTTGCTTGGTGCCTGTGATGCCTCATGAGCTAAGATCCTAATCTGATAAGCTTCCCTGTTCCTTTCTGTGTAAACATTTACCAATGTTCAAGCAGATGGCTCTGTGGTATAATCTATTCCACATGGAAGAACTGGGAGCCATTTAATGTCCATGGGAGACCACATAATTCTATATTTTCCTTTAGGAGAAGACTGGTGAACTCATGGAAACATGTGGCCCTCTAGGATGGGTCAGAGCACCTGAGTCAGGCCACCTGAGTCCAGGTGGTGATTAACTAATCATCTTTCCCTTGAGCCAAGATAATAAAGCGTGGACTGCTGAAATTCTAAAATGAAATTTCAAATTTGGGGTGGAAGGAAAAAGTTTAACTAGAAAGCCAAGTGCAGTTAAAGACCACTTCATACTCTACTGTTCAGTGCCAGATTCAAATACATGTGAAACAAGTGTCTTGGGGGACCAGTAGATAGCCCTGTTGTATAAAGAATGTCTTGAGAGAATGGATAGGATGTCCAGAATTCATTCCCTTTACATGGATCCAGGCAATGGCATATGAGAGAAAGACTTGAGTGCATTGCTTTTGAAGCCCCTGTCCTCCGTCATTCTGGCCACACATCAAGTGTCCTCCAGCTCAGAGCAGTGCCATTAAGACACACTTGCTGGGACCCTCCACAGAAGCTCTGTTTCATGTCTGGGAAAGGACCAGCACTTGGTACTTCTGCTGTGTTCCCTGCGCTGCAAATGCCTCTGACACCAGGACCAGCCTGGGCGCCCCTGCTCTGCATCCTGGGAAATGGCACTGCCCTCACACGTCCACCTGGAGACAGCAAGGACACCACTCTGTCCTCGTCCCCTCAATTCCAGGACCCTCCCTCCCTCTCTGTCCTGTGCTCAGGCTCCCCATGGTCACACCTCATCTTCTCATCTCTGGGGTAACTCAGACCTAGACCCCAGCACACTCCTCTGCCCCACCCATCTCGCTCTCAGGAGCTGCTCCCAGGCACCCTGTCAGGGCCAGCACTGGCCTCTGCTCCCTGTGCTCTCCCTGTGCCCATGTAAGTGTCCAAGTCTGTGCTTTGCTTCTCCCCTCCCTGAACCTGCTCCAGGCTCCTTCGCTTGTCTCATCACCAGGTGAGCAGGATTCCTTATGCATTCTCTGTTCTGTCCCAGGGTCAAGGCAAATGCCAAGCCCACAGCTACGTTATACTGACTGTTCTCATAGTGGCTTCACACTAAGAAAAATCCCCCAAACAGGTAAATGTCATCTATGCATAAAGTTCTCAGAATGTATAGAAATCTCCAATACCTTCATTTTATTTCATTGCACAAGAAATGAACAAAACAAAACTAATTAGAACAAACATACACAAGACAGCAGAATGCATTTTGATCCATTCTACACAATTTCATATCTCTTCTTTTACACAATGTAGAGTTGCATCATAT